GGCTTGTCGGGGGGGGCGGGGAGACACAGGGGCATCGCTGCGAGGTCACTCCGCGTTCTTGTACTTGTTGAACAGGTTGTAAAGGACCCGAAGGGTGGACTTGAGGTCCAGGTTCACCACATCTGTAGAAGGAAACAGAGGGAACGTTACAGGATGGGAGGGCTCACCGGGAGCCCTGTCACTGGGGACACATGGGCCACGTGTGTGTCCACAGCAGAGCATCGTCCAGGATGCTCTGGGCAGCACCGTCCCCGGACACAGGCCTCTGTGGGAGCCCTGGGCCGCCACCTGTGGGATGAGTCCCTGGGCGGCCAGGACAGGTGCCCCTCTTCCATCCCCGCTAGGATTTGCATCAGGGCTAGTGTGACAACCGATAACATTTGCATGGTGTGGGGTCTACGACAGCCAAGGACATTTGCTGGGGACCAGACACTCAGAGGCTCACCTGCACCAGGACCACTGGCCTGCGGCGGGGTCAGGCCTCCTAGGGCAGGGCAGGGCAGGGTGGCAGCTGCTGACCCAGCCCTCAAGCTTGGGCACATGGTGTGGCCTGCCCAGGACACTTTGGGGATGAGAGCTCCCTCTGGGGCCCNATGGTGTGGCCTGCCCGGGACACTTTGGGGATGAGAGCTCCCTCTGGGGCCCAGCAGGTACAGGCCACCTTCTTTGGTGGGCAGGGCGCCAGTCCTGGGAGCTGGGCCCTGGATTCTGGTCTTCACACACCGTGGGACCTCAGACAAGTGACTCGGGGAGGGTCAGGAGTCACAGGATGGAATTCCTGTCCCCGGATGGACCTTAAACGCTGTTTGGTGAGCCTCTCAAAGAGAGAACCTAGGAGTGACAGATGTGTCCCACCTAGAACTCATGCTGTGGCCGGAGGGCAGCAATTCCCAAAGTGGGATCCCTGGACCTGGGGCACCGGCGTCGCCCGGAAACTCATTGGAAACAAGACTTGTCGGGCCCACCCCACAGCCCCCACACCACCATCTGTTCTTGGAGAAGCCCTTCTAGGGTTTAGGCGCTCCCTCAGGTTAGAGCATCCTGGCATAGACCATGTAACACAGCAGCCAGGACGGGGCAGAAAGGTGGCCCCTCCCTTGGCCCGGGCCCCAGCCCCTCACAGAGTGAACGTGCCGCCTCCCCGCTCAAGGGCATCACCTTTGCCGGCCACCAGGGACACAACCCAATAGTCACTAAACTGCAGGCCACCTCCGATGGCCTTTCACGCCGTGACATAGCATCCCCAGCCCGAGTGCTGCCCCGGGAGAGGCAACTAAATCCTGAGGCCCAGGGGCAGGGCCCACAGCCTCTGAGTCATGTGGTGTCTATAGACCCAGCATTGGTGGCCCCATCAGCACAGCCCTGTTGGTCCCCAAAGCCAGGAGCATGGGGGTCACAGGGGCATGGAGGCCTGGGGTTGGCAGTGCTGGCCTGGGAGCCACCCACGTGGAGAAATCTTATCGGGAGAGGCAGGTAGGGCCCCCCAGCCCTCAGAGGCCCGGTCACACTTGTGCCCAGCTTTCCCCGAGGACACGTGGTTGGAGCTTTACCTTCCGGCCGGGCCTTGGGTTTACTGAGCCCCCCGTCCAGCATCAGCTCGAAGGCGAAGGACACGTTGTGGACCTGCCGAGGACGCGAGAGTTAATGCCGGGCGGAAGCTGTCCCCAGGCCCGCCTGCTGCCCAGCACTCTCCCTCTGAAAGGACAGGACAGAGGCAAGTGTGGGCAGAGCGGGTCTTCGGAACGGCCACCAGAACCCAGGGCGCCCGGCGCGGGGCACGGCGGGCAGACGTCTGCTGGTCCTTCCTCCCCTCGCCGGGGCTCGGGGGCGGCTGGGAGATGCAGGGGTGGAGACACACAGCCTGCCCTCCAGGGCTTGGGGGCCCCCGTGTGTCTGCCCCAGGCCCTGGCACATCCACACGACTGGAAGCGACAGTGACCCTATTTGACAGATGAGGACACCGAGGCTCCGAGAAGACGAGTCCCTTCCCAGAGGCGCCCGGCCCTGTGCGCTGTCCCCGGCACAGGGCAGCCCTTTCTCCCAGAGCCCCGCCCCGCCCCCGCCATCGGCCGCACACGCACAGCAGGCGGCGAATCGGGGTGGAGTTGGGCCCGAAAGAGGGAGGAACGGAAGAGTCGGGTCTGGACGTCAGCCCGACCTGGGAACCTAAGGCAGCCGCCCCTCCTGGCCGCACTGCCCCCAGGCCAGCGCAGTGACCGTTTCACAGGGCGGAAGGCCGGGGGGACACGGCGCCCCTGCCGCCCACACAGGCCTCCTCCGGGCGCCTGGCTAAGTGCACCGTCCCCCCAGCCTCCTGCTGCACTGGAACCGGGAAAAGTTCTCTCCCCAGAACTGGGCCTGGCCGTGCACGGGCCTCGTCACAGGCGGTGCCTTCGCGGCNAAATCTTATCGGGAGAGGCAGGTAGGGCCCCCCAGCCCTCAGAGGCCCGGTCACACTTGTGCCCAGCTTTCCCCGAGGACACGTGGTTGGAGCTTTACCTTCCGGCCGGGCCTTGGGTTTACTGAGCCCCCCGTCCAGCATCAGCTCGAAGGCGAAGGACACGTTGTGGACCTGCCGAGGACGCGAGAGTTAATGCCGGGCGGAAGCTGTCCCCAGGCCCGCCTGCTGCCCAGCACTCTCCCTCTGAAAGGACAGGACAGAGGCAAGTGTGGGCAGAGCGGGTCTTCGGAACGGCCACCAGAACCCAGGGCGCCCGGCGCGGGGCACGGCGGGCAGACGTCTGCTGGTCCTTCCTCCCCTCGCCGGGGCTCGGGGGCGGCTGGGAGATGCAGGGGTGGAGACACACAGCCTGCCCTCCAGGGCTTGGGGGCCCCCGTGTGTCTGCCCCAGGCCCTGGCACATCCACACGACTGGAAGCGACAGTGACCCTATTTGACAGATGAGGACACCGAGGCTCCGAGAAGACGAGTCCCTTCCCAGAGGCGCCCGGCCCTGTGCGCTGTCCCCGGCACAGGGCAGCCCTTTCTCCCAGAGCCCCGCCCCGCCCCCGCCATCGGCCGCACACGCACAGCAGGCGGCGAATCGGGGTGGAGTTGGGCCCGAAAGAGGGAGGAACGGAAGAGTCGGGTCTGGACGTCAGCCCGACCTGGGAACCTAAGGCAGCCGCCCCTCCTGGCCGCACTGCCCCCAGGCCAGCGCAGTGACCGTTTCACAGGGCGGAAGGCCGGGGGGACACGGCGCCCCTGCCGCCCACACAGGCCTCCTCCGGGCGCCTGGCTAAGTGCACCGTCCCCCCAGCCTCCTGCTGCACTGGAACCGGGAAAAGTTCTCTCCCCAGAACTGGGCCTGGCCGTGCACGGGCCTCGTCACAGGCGGTGCCTTCGCGGCCGGGACGTCGCATGGGCTCCGTGGCTCGGCCGGGGCCCTCTGTTCTCTCGCTCACATGCTCACCACCCGCCACGGACTCACCTGTCCGACTCCGTCCCGGCAGCCGGGACAGGACTGGCACTAGGCCACAAGCAAGCAGCCTGCCAAGCGCCCACCTGGGCAGACTGATAAACCCTGGCCCCGGTTTCAGAGGTCGCTCTGGCTGGCTGCCTCTCTGACTCACGGGTCTAGCACTTTGGGGAAATAAAAGGACAGATGCCCATGTGCCCAAAGCAATCCGGTCAGTCCATCTGCCAAGTTTCCAAAGGCTTTGACTATATGCGGGTGGACGGCTGGCCTTCGGGAGGCCCTGGCAGGAGGCGAACGGCCCGGTCACCCAGGGCAGTGACACGGGAGAGCCAGCCACCTAACTGTAACGGTTGGGCCCTTGGATCCAATCGCTCCTACTTGGGGAATTTCCCTAGAAACAATCCACAGGAATGGAGAAAATATATATATTCAAGAAGACACCCCAGTGGCAGGAACAGGGGACAGGCTGGCAACTGTGCCGACATTGGACCACAGTTATTAACGATGATCTCATGGGAAAGGCCCGGAAGGGAACATGGCACCCGGCACCGCTGACGGGTCTCCTTTCACCGTGGGTGCCGTGTAAGCGAGATGCCACTTGTCATATAGTTGTATGTTATTTTTATTTTTTTAATATTTTTAGTTAATCGTCACCCAAAGGTATTTTTTCCATTGATTTTTAGAGAGAGTGGAAAACTTTTAGGGAGGGAGG